ATTAATTCTACTGAATGATGGTGAGCTGTGAAGAGGATATCTATAACTATACGAGATCAGGACGACAGGCTACCATACTCTATTTAAATACTGAGCATTTGTAGTTGAAATGCAGACACGCAGTGAGAATTTGCAGGTAGACTAATCTGTGCATCCGATTAATGATGAAAGATTTAACTACCTAATCAATAATAGTCGTAGAGTGATGCTAATGCAGTGATGCAGTATATATCTATGGTTGCCCACTCAAACAAGGACACAACAAAGTCCAATAATTCGACTGTCAGACTACGGATTAATGGAACAGAATTGTTGTACAATTTGAAAATGTTCTCAGTAAATAGTTAGTTATACAATTCGGAAACGTTATAAGTTATTTCACTTACAATCAAAGAATAAATTATAAAAATATTTTTAAATAAATACGTATTCAACTGCGTATAGAATTTTTAATTTTATGATCAAATACACCTCATCCTGTTCTGTCATCTTCGCCTGTACGCAGGCGTAAGCTAAACAACAATACAATTTTGTAAACATTACAATAATATAAGAGCATAATATATACCTAATAATAGTTCCTAAATGAAAATATGTTTTTTCGTTACTCAGTGAAAAAAACTTGCCAATTATTTTATCATATTGTGTATATATTTTTTATAAATAAATGTTTTATAGTTTATTTAAGATTGAATTTACCTAAAATGCGTCATTTTGGCACTCCTTAAACGACTGCCTCTTTAGTCTTGACGTCACTTTCGTTCTCAAATTTAAACAGTCCCCGCTTGACTTGATCAGACAAATTACTTTAAAAGCAGGAAAAAAACTAAAATATATTCATCTTCACGAAAAAGACGTATTTTATAATTGTTTTGTAACAAAACATTTATATTAATTTTTTGTCTTAGATTATTTTATGTGTTATATAAATATACGTAAAACTACATTTATAGGTGATACATTACTGAATGAATTGATAAAAATGTGTAACATAATTATGTATTTATAATTAAAACTAAAAATATATTTTACACATTGTAAGTGAGCAATTTTTATTATAGACAACTCATAGGCCCCAAAACCGTCTTTGCCTGGGCCACTTAAACTTTAAATCGCGCCCTGCATGTCCTTACTAATAAAAGTGTAGACAAATTCAAGATTGATTTTAGTGCACATTGTAATATATCACCAATATTACGTAATGTAATCAGTTTTAAATGGACATTAGAGTTTATGAACATATTAATATAATTTACATATTTTCAACACAGCTTAATTATCCGGTTGTTGTATGTCATAGTATAAGTAGGTAGTATATTTAATATTACTATATGTAATGGTATAACGACAATGACAGCTCAAATATATAAGATAAGAAACACTGTTTTATTTACAATGAGATTTATTATTTTAACATTTATAGAAGTAGTAAACCGTAATTATTCATATAGCTAAACCAAATATATAGTAATTATAATCACTTAATTTTTATATTATAAAAAATATAAATACGATTTAAGGCGAATAATGAAAAGATAAAAAAATGATTACATAATATTGGTAAGTGGTAATTATAATATAATGTCAGCTTCAATAAAAGCTTATATATAATAATATATTATACCTGTTATTAGTCTAAAATATTAAGTTTTTCCCGGACAATAAACAATGAAGTTTTCCGATATAATATAATAACAATAATTATAAGCTGTAACCACTAAGAATAAATATTTATACGATTAGCCAGTTCAAAAACGGTTGCTTACTTTCAAGTAAAATAAAGAAAGTATAATAAATTAAAAGACAAACATTGAAAATTGGTTGATGAGCTACAGATAGTGGGATGTAACTATACAATTTAATTATTTCATAAAACTATACATACGTTTACATTTATTGAATGTGTGACAAATATAAAATACTTAATAAAGTATATATTATTATTAATTATAATTATAGTTATATATTTCATTAGATACAATAAATGAACATCAATATAGGTACATATTATATTTAAATAAATAGTAAATAGTTAACATAATTTTGTTTAGTTTAAAAAAATTGATTTCAATATTATATCGATCAAAGAAAATGTAACCTTCAGGAACATCTCAGTGACTAATCGCCACTGACGAAATATTAACTTCCACGCGTCAACACCTTCTAATATAAAGTATGAAATAAGAATTTAATTTTGAACTCATTATCCTTGTTTAGGCCACTTTGACCTGCAGATAACTTTTGAAAAGTCATTAAGTTCGGAGACGCACCTATTGTATACAGTGTTACACGGTAGAAAAATTTAAAATGTGTAATAAATACCAATTTGATACATATTTTATATGGAGGTCGGGCGTTTAATAGTTTTGCTAACCTATTGGATTAATTTAGAGCATAATATAAATATTTAATAATATGTTTGTAACTCAATGATCGTTAAAGCCTCCGGCGACTATGCATTTATGTAAATTAAAAATTTCAATGTATTTTTATGATTGATTCAGTTTCAGCATGAAGTAGAATTTGGGTTTTCCCGTCAACGTGAATTTTGATGAAGAAACGCTCACTTTCATATGGAAATGAAAAAAGAAAACAGTTAGATATTGTCATACTGAGATGAATAAGTGAACGTTACACCAAGGTTTGTCATCTCTGTCTCTCACTCGGGGATCATGGCAATGGCAATGGTAACAGAAGATATTTGTCGTAAATTATTGGAAAGTGATTAGATAGCTAAAACTGTCAAAACAGGTTGATTCTTTTAACAGTAAAAAATCATTATATTATATCTTTACTTTAATAAAGCTATTCAAATAATTTTTTTTTTTTACATAAATTGAAGTATTTAGGTACCAAGACAGCGTTTTTGAAAAAAATATATTTTTATCGTTGTACTGGTAGTAGAAAAAAATGACCACTGAAAAAAACACGTGAATATAAGACCACGAGAGTGCCATATAATTGTACTACATTAAAATAGGTATTTTGTTATGTTGTGCAATACCTACTTACATAGGTAGTTATATATTTATTGAATAAAATAAATAGATAAAGGATATACCACAATATAGCTTTCAATAATTTTCATTTTTAATACCTACCTAACTAGTGATACAAATTTTGCATTTAATTGGTTTGAGCAAAGAACAATTTACTTAATTTATATTGTTGTGTAGTGGTATACATCTAGGCATAAGGCATTTTTGGCTATTTCTTAGAGTACTTTTTGATAGTTCTTAGCTAATTTAAATTTGGGCCCTTGCAATGGAGTATATATTGGGTGTGGAGGTGAAATATTTGCCATAACTCAGTGACTGAATGTCTGAATCAGACCCTAATTTACGTATGGGCATACGGTGCACGAACATAGGGCCTCCTCACTACTCTATACCAAAAAAAAATAAAGTGTTTTTCACCAATAATTTTAACAATGAACCTATTTTCTGCACCTCAACAAATAAAAACTTGCATGCTTTCTTCTTTAACCCAATAAAAACTAGATTCTTTGTCATAATTACGGGCAATCAATCATGATTTCACAAAACAAATAGATAACGTTAAAAGAACTTATTGCTGAATATGCAAAGTATAATATTCTGCTTAATAATATAAGATTAAAAGGTATTATTTCATTCAAAACAGTAATAAGGAACTTAAGAAATATAAATAAAGATAAAATAAAATCTTTATTGGGGATAAACTTTTATTAATTAATAATTAAAAAATGATAGCTAGCTATATGGGACGTGCAACGTTCATGTACAGTATACACCGCAACGGGGCTGAAAGCTCGTTTTTCGAATACCTACCGGCTACCACTTACACACATAGGTGCAAGGTGCACTAGACGGAGGACTAGGCTGCTGAGCATCATTAGAAAGTTAGAAAATTAGGAAGTATTTTGTTAGTCCTCCCCCCCAAATAATTGAATATGAATAATAATTTCTATAATACGACAAATAAAAATTGGCTATGGACTAGCATGAGTGCATGACCATTACACAATAACGATTAAAAAAAATTATCACTGTTAAAAACTGAAGATTTTATTAATAAATTTGAAACTGAAGACAAGATAATTGCCTTAGATATATCGATGGTTTAATAGTTACTTATAAATTATAATTAATATTTTATTTAAGTTATAATTTATTAGTATTAAAATTATTGTGAATAAGGAAATAAAAGTAATTTGTATCATGAAGTTTGTATAATTTTAGCACCCCCAATATTTAAGATCTTGTTGCTCCTATTATTACACTTTCCGAATAAGATTAAAATACAACAATATTTAGGGATGGACGGACGGACAGAGACGTTGCCGGTGTGACGTGCTCTTAACCGCGACGCGGCCGACAGGCTGTGCATAGTGCATTGTGTGTCTATGCCACGCTGCGTCTACGTGGTTTCAATAAACTCGGCACGCAGATTCCCGGTATGCACGCCAGGGGCCGCCCGCGTCCACACCGGCTTGCTGTCGTCACACGAACACTGCCGTAACTCGCGTACTCTGCAATAGTTTCGCGCACCGCCGACCACACAAACCGACGTCAACACAGCCGCCCGCGAGTGACGTCACCCCGCAGCGGACAGACAGCTGCTGCTGTATTGCAGACCGCGAGTACTATAAACGTACCTACTACCAGTACTACCTACAGTTGCACGAGCACAGTTGTAGTTCATCAATATAGTTCCAGCCGCTTATCGATACGGTCGTCCGTTGCTATCACGCAGTCCCCCATTCATCGTCATTGCTTATTAAAGATTAAGAATATTTCGTTAATTATTATTTTCAATTTTATATTGATACTCCCGTGACACTAACGAACACACTTCTTTCGTCATTATTTTTTATTCACGCAAACGCGCGCTCAATTCTACGTTAACTTTTCGGCAAAACCGGCGTCGTTACTGTGGTAATTATCCTAGGTCCGAAGATTTCAATCCGATCTTCGTCACCAGCCCGGCTACAGTATACGTCACGTACACGTGCTCGTTTGATGTTTGACAAAAAGCGGCTCTTGCCTAACGTGGATCCGTTTGTCCGGCGGATGAACATCGTCAAGACCAAGAATTTCGTTATCGCCGTGGCCCTCCGCTTGTACAAAGTGGTCGCCGGCAAGATGGGTGTCAACGGTGCCGACAAACAGGTAATAACGGTAACGATAACAGCGATAACGATAACGATAACAACGATGACTACGACGATGATAATGATCAGTGTTGGTACGGCGTTACGTTAGAGGGGTCTAAGCGCTGAAGTGAATTTTGAGAACCTCCGGCTCCGAGTAGCGCGCCGACGCGGCCGCTGCCGACCGCCGTATTGTTCTGAACTCCAGCTCCGCATCCAAAGCGTACCACGTCGATCGTGCTTTTATTCCTTTCCAGTTTCTGTGTTCCGATTTATGTTATTTTTTTTTCGACCGTTCCGGCATTGTTATCATGAAATTGATCATTCATTTGTCCGATCTATTATGCGATCTCGAGAAATTATAGTGAAAAAATCGTATTGACTGGGAATCGCTGGACGAGAAAAAAAATCGACGTTTTCCCGCGCCGGCGATCGACGGATGCGCGTGAAAGTTTGGGTAGATTCGTATACCATGCTATAGACGATGACCTATTTTCGGTTGATTACCCGCGCGGAAGTCGAAATATTATCTGTCTATTGATTTTTTGTGATACATAATATTATATTAATTTCCTATGATATATTAATATACATAATATATTTATTTAAATATTTATACATTCGCCGTACGCTAAAAAGTAATTATCCTATAATTATTTTTCTGAACAATCCGTAAACTCAAGTCGTCATCAATCCGTCAAGGCAAGTTTAATTGAAACGCCGATAAAATATTAATTTTATATTCTTCATTATTCACCGGTAATGTGTCATCGGTTTTATCATTTGAAATATATTTATATTGACCTCATATTTAATCAATAATTTTCATGTTTAAATCGCATCGAGCCTGTTGGCGTAGCGAAAAACCACGTAATACCTGACTGTTCAGGTGTTGAGTAGGGTTGATATTAATAACTCTTTACACGTCGAATAAGTACTAATTAGCTCCTATGCCTACTTACTGGCTACTTTATTCAACTAAAGCTTCAAAGTGGTATACAGTTTCAGCTGCCGTATTTCTTTGAAATTGCAAGCTATATAAATGTTACATAGAGATTGGTAATCGTAAAAAAAAGTAAAAAGACTAAATTAAAAAATCAAATAATGTTCCCAAATGTAAAACGAAATTTTTTACTGTACTTTCTTGTTATTTTGTTCACAAAAAAAAATTGGGTGGATTTTGAATAGATCGCATGCATCTGTAGATGGTAGATGACAGTTGACACGATTTGGGTTAGGATTACGAATAGACCAACTGACCAAGCATATTATGACATTAGTTGAAAAATTGGATAGATAAATCTCAAAACGACAAAAGCTAGTAGAAAAATGGAAATTTTATTAAGAATGTTGTGTCGACATTAGCTGAATAGCCTCTTCAGAAATTCTTAACTTTTTATAACACAAATAGTTCAAATCTTAAAATACAAAAAATATAAAATTATATTTAATTCAGAATATTTATAAAATTATTTTTATTATGTATTTTGTTTTATTTTAAGCATATTAATAAATATTATTATAGGTACCTACCTACTTAATCAATAGTAATTTTTCAATCATAGAGAATATTATAATATGATTGTTGGCACGCCCTTTAAAATCTATGCAGATTATATTATAGAGCATACATATGTCTAACGTCTGGCAAACCCTTCGTATTGTTAAATAGTAAATACTGATCCCAAGGCCGTTGTACCTACTTTGAATAACAGCTATTACCTAGGTCAACGTAAAATTAATAGATGATGTGCTTCCTTGTGAATATTAGTCGTTTGGAACATGTTATTCGGTTGCAATATTCGTTTTAAACTTTTAAAGTTTAATTGTTTACAATTTGTATTTTGTGTAAAATTTCAATGCGCGACAAACATCAAAACTATTTTTAACATAGCCTGTTGTTTTCTGTTGGAACGTCTACAGACTACATTATATACGTAACAACAATATCATTAGCGCATCTTTATATTTTTAATTAAATAAACGTAATAAATATTATCATAACACAAACATAAGTAGTTTGAGGCCGGCGTACCCTCTATGACTTGACTCAGTCTTATTAGCGTACATTATAGATAGGTTATTTTTAATATTAGAGTGAACTGATCTATTATACAATTTAACAGTATCTAATAATATTATCCGGGATACTTTTTTTGGATATTTGGATTTTGTAGCAAGTTATGATTATTTTAAAATGTACAAACGGTGTACAACTTATTATTTACTTCTTAATATTATACTACCTACTGTTGATGTTGGCTTTATAAACCTTCTCGTGATATTTAATATGTTTTACGTGCATGACTATGTATACATTATGGTACATAGTTAAGTATTTTTCTAAAACATTGATAAAATATTAATTATTCTTAAATATAGATAGGTACTAAAATCTAACAGCCTATTTCTTGTTTCGTTTTTTTATTACATGATATAGGCGATGTACCTAGTCATATTTGATTTAATATATATGCTAATAAAAATTAATTTTAATACATTAATTGTATTTGTATACTCAAGTCGATGGTCATGATGTGATAAATCAAAAAGTTATATTTGTTCCAATGTCAATCTCTAATTCACATTAACGATAATTACAGAGATAAATTCGGGAATAAATCGCTGTTTTATTAATTAAAAAAAAATATTATATTATACTTTTGACAAAGCAGATAAAAAAATTTTATGGTTACCTATTAACGAATTTTTTTCTTGATCACAGAGAAACCCAGAGTTTCTTTCAGGTACTTTAGTCGTATAAAAAGTATATGATATTGCCTAATACACAATTTTTTTCCACTAAATTATTTTGTGAAAAATAAATATAATATCATGCTACGAAAAAAAATGATTCATGATTCTTCGTATTATTCAATCACACAATATGTATTTATTTCATATATTTACATTTACATATTTGTAGTATCATACAATTATCAATACGTAAGGATTAAAATATATAAAAAAAACCGAATGATGAATTGAATGTAATTTACATGTATAAAAAAATTTTATGACATCATTTAAATGAGCATATTTATATCTAGGTATCTATATAGGTACCTATAATAAATAAATTAATGTACGTTTGTATGAGGCTTCAGGCTTATGTCTTATAGGCTTGGAAACTACTGAATCAGTTGACACCAAATTGAGACACATTCCTTGAGACTCGGGGAGTGTTCTTTGGTTCGTTTTTCAATACCCACATAGACTGTTATAGTATAGGGTTACACAGAGTATAGGTTCACACAAAGATTTCGTTTTGGCTCGAGGAAATAGAATATATTTTTGATTTATAATTTAATAGGGTTATTTATAGGGTTGCTCTAGGCAATTTTTATAGACTAGCCTGCGTTGCTATGGGATTTTTTAAAAGAGAAAATAATAGGTAGGTGTTCAATTAATTGTTTGTTATTAAAATGTAGTATGTACAATAATAGGCAATGTCTGTATGTGTGTAGCTTATAAACTCAAAAACTACTCGTCCAATTTTGACGAAAAATTTAGAGATTATTCTTGTAGATATCAAAAGTTATAAAAAAAAATTGGTTTAAAAATTACGTCCCAAAATATACTAATTGTTTGTGTAGGTACTACAGCAGTAAGTAGAGGGTGACGGTAATTAAAGCGAAAAAACTTGTAACATATTAGTAAAAATGAGGGTATGTTTTTACGTATAGAATATAGATGTTTGATATTTTTAATGATAGGTCGCAGACATTTTGGGAATAGCTAGAAAAGAAAGAAAGGAGGGCTCAATTAAGTTTTGGAGTGATTAGTTGATTGTGTGATGAGATCAGGGAAGTTTCTTAGCGGCTATGTTAATTGTTGTAATAATAGATTGCCCATGTGAGGTCGTTATTTTGGATAGTATGTTGTCTACTTCTGATCGTTGATTTGTTACATATTAAAAAAATTCTCCATTAGGATTTGAGAAATTAGGTTGTTTAGATTGAGTGTTCAGTGGTACCTAGCTAGGTAACTTATGTTTCCCGGTTGGACGCTGGGAATTTATGTGTTAATGGTTCGGGTAGTGGAATGGTTCTGTAGAGTGTTTGCGCTTAGTCACTACGCTTTGTTATGGCCAAAGCTTAGGACATTTTTACATTTAAGATAAGAGCATAGTATATGCTATGCGATACCTCAAAAAGCATATGATAGATGAAGATTAAGTTTTTTTTTGAATTTTGACAGGTAAAAATTTGAGTTCCACTATGCGTGTAGAAGTGATATGTTCCGTCCTTTTTGGTATAAATTCGTTTGAAAACGAAAACTTTGATTTCACATTTTAGACCATCCCAGTAGTCCTCTTCTGGAAGGATGTATCTAATTTTATGATTCCGTGATAAAAGATTATGGTAAATATGCGGATAGATTATGATGTTGCTGAAGTAGAGAGAGATTCAAGGGATGTATTCACATGGAACGTTGAATCAAATATAATTTAAATTTTTTATGTCCATTAGGTTTAATATTGTTGATTCTGTAAAAGTTATTAAGTGCAGAAACTTAAGCACATTTCAGTGGATGCTAAAATGTAAATACCGGTGCCGGTGCTAGAACCTGCGGATTCGATAATTATAACGTCTGGGCTGTTAAAATTAGTTGAGAAGCATTTAATGTGTTGATTGATATAGGGTTTGGTGTAAGTGAGTACTTGTGGGTTTTGTGGAAGATTAAGATATGAGGCCGCTTATTAATTCCATTTACTCCCGTGTTGTACCTTTTAACCATATGAAGAGTATAAAGTTGTAATTATTTGTAGTTTTAAAAGAGTATAAAGTTGTAATTATTTGTAGTTTTAACTTTCATGATTTTAACTAATACTGCAAAATTGTAAATATTTATAGTTATTGCAATTTCAACGAATTTATTTTATACGAAATTGTTGTAAGTATTTAACAAATATAGGTACAAAAACAACATACTACGCACATATTATAATAGTATCGGTATACGTTGTATACGTAGTCCTACACAATAGGTTTATTCATTCATAAATATGTATTCATTATATTCTTATAAACTTGGCATGTTTTAACTGTACAATATTAGCATATTAGTACACTACGCGTTAACCTATTTATTTTGCATAATTTTGAATACAAACATGTTCTATAACATGAATGTATTTAAAATTTTAACGATTGGTCTAAAAATCGTTTAATTACTTGATAAACATACGTTACAACTTTTGGATTCAATTCAAAATTGAGAATGTGGAAATCCACCAATACGTTTTTCATTTTATACATTTGGGATTTGGGTGTTGTATTATTTTTGACTTTTGTATAAATTAAAATAGTTAGATGATAATAGGTATTAATTTTATAAATGTTACTGTTTCTTAATTATTTAAAATTTTAAAATGAATAAATTAATTAATTTTGTAATACAGTCAAGGTGTCATAATATTCTTTAAACGATTTATTTCCTTTAATCATTTAAATTTCAAAGTTATTTTGAGCAGTAAAAAGCTAGATATAATTGCATCCAGACAATATTGATTGGAACTGTACACGAATTATTATTAACTTTATATTTTTCGTCAATATGATAAATTATTTATAACACTGATCGTGTGCATAAAGCATAAAGTGATAATAGTTATTGTTTCTTGAAAATTAATGAAATCAACATTGTACAATAATATTTTTACTATAATATAAATATAGTATTATATTATGATCAGGTTCGGGTATTGAATATGTACGCAATATACCTTAGGAAAAAAAAGAATTTTAAATTTTGTTTTCATGTTTATTTTTTAGATTTCGTTATAATATTATCAAAGGTATAAATAATTTCGTTTGTTGGTGAACACACTGTAAAATAGCCTTTGAACCATTTTTATTATCTTAGTTTTAATACCTTTAAATTACGTCCTGCGACCTGCATAATTTAACTGATATTTAATTGAAAAATTATTATTAGCATATTTAATCAATTGATGATTGGATGAGTTGATATTCTTTGATACTTATTACAATATTTAATCAAATCAAACTTACATTTCTATGTATTCACCTGTCAGCTGTTATACCATCCTTTTTTTATTAATATAATTTACGTATGTTTTATATGTACTTTCTTTATTATTATTAAATGTGTTAATTACATAGTATTATTTTTTGTTTAGGGTCTTGCGCAATACAACGATATGTTTGAAATGGCGACTAGACTTTGCAGGAGTTATCTACCCGGATCCTGGAAGAAGATTACATCAAAGGATATAGCCGTGAAACGTATTAGGTACCTAACTATTTTTGTCAATCATATATATAAGATATTCACACTGTATGATTGAATTGGCTAAGGTGAAATAAATACTAGATTAGATAATTTGTTTGTATTAGGCCGATTTACATTAAGAAGTTATAATCATCTAAGAATTAAATTTAATATTAAACAGGGTGTGGACCACTCTATGAAAAGGAAAACGGAAAAACACGTTGGCACTTACTGTATAATATCGATTGAGATAGAAAGTTGGTGTATATAAATGTATAATAAACTATGTAGTAACATATTTGTATACGATAAATTGAAAAATGTATAAAATTCATATTTTCCGTTAAAATAGAAAAGAAGTTGGTACTTAATACAAATTTTATAATTTCATTATTTAGAAAATTAATGCTAAGATTCTATGAATTCATTGGTTGTAGAAATAATGTAAATTAATTAACTAAAAATATTATATTGATGTGCCCACTATGTTTGGTATCGTATTTTCTATTTGATACTATATTTAATTATAATTTGATGGATTATACAATATAATATTTAATTCTAATATTAAATATAGTTAATATAGTTAATACCTACTACCTAGGTACCTATATGAATATACTATTATATTAATATTTTTGAAGCTAATCCTATTTAATATTTCTTTTAATCAATGATATTACTATATAGTATATACAAAAGTATTTAAAATTGTTTAAGTATCAAAATGCATTCATTATTATAATATTATGCTTTACATTTTTTTAAAATATTATTCTTATAATTATTTAGGTATACTCGAGCAGGTTGATCTAGTAAACAAAATTAAAACTCTTAGTTCTGTCAGCTACTTATATTTTACGATTGGTGTTATTTTTATTATTTTCCTCCTTATTAGCAATTTTATGTATTTTTATGTTATTAATGTTATTAGTTATTATAAATTTCGTGCGAAGGGTGAACATAATAAGGTTATATTGTTGAATATAATAGCACTCATTCTGACGCAAATGTATTCCGTTGAAATAATGTGGTCATAATATTTAATGTAGTTAATCGTATCCTTGTACTAGTACATATAATTTCTATAGTAGTCCAAACTAAAATCGTTGCTTAGTGACTTTGTGGGGGAGGGGCTGAACTGGTGCAGGTTATTGCGGCGCAGTATTAGGTTAGGTGGCGGTTGGATTTTAAGAGGTTTCTTTCTTCAGTCACGTGTTAGTATAATATTTTATGTATATATATATAATATCGATTCACGAGAGACGACGATTTTTCTGAGACGCAATAACACAGTGCACTACGGAGTAAACCCCGTATACACGTATTAGCTATTGCATATTATGCGTCAGGTGAAAAACAAATACCGTGCATATATTATTATTATAAAATGTAATTATTTATATTTTTTTGGCGTTAAAAAACGATAAATGATAAATGATTATTGCCTAACAAACCGTATATGATGTGCATTGTGGATGTAACAAAATGACACATGTCGACATTTTATTAAGTACATTCTTTTCACACAATTCGTTGAATACTTGCAGAATTAAATATAATATAAGTCGTGTTTGCATGGTTCACTTTTGCAGGTGATAATTTTGGATAAATCCAGAATCAGCCACAGTGTAGAAAAGTCGAACACTGCGTCCATCGTTGAATTTCAATGATAACTTTTGATGATTTTATGTTATTTCATGTTAACACTGTTTATTTTTCGTTCAATGTGGTCTGTGGACTGTGTGTGATTCATATTAAATAATCATCAAAAATAAATCGGCTATTAGTATGATCTTTTTGTAATTTAAAACCGTGGGTACGATAATTTATAATATTATTGATTATTGATTAACAATAAAATGGACTCGTAAATACGATAACCAAAAGTCAATGATGACTTTGCAGTATTCCCTGATGAGATTAATGTGATATTATTCCGCTTCTGCTGTACAATTTTTAAAATTTATATAGGTAGGTGTACCTGCGTAGTTTTGCACTGAAGCCCAACGATATTCATTTACACTTGAGGCGAATTCGTTTTATAAACAACAAGGTTATATGTTTTTTATATATATTATAGGCACCTTGACAGTTCTATTTACTTAAAACAAATTTGTATGAATAATTTTTAATTTATTTTACACATAGTACACAATGAATTATAAAATCGAAATTATTTAAACAAAAGCAACATGATTAAGTTGTGTAGCTAAATACAAATACAAAAAAAAGTTAAGTCAGTAAAATAAAATAATATTAGTATTTTGGCTTGGTTTTTAAGTTGTTAAATGTTTTATTTCTAACCCGTTCTCATGTATCTACAATCCACGATTATTTTCAAAAAGCGAAATCTGACATTTTGTATGCAAATACCTACCCTATATAATAAATAAATTGGAATTTTAACATCTTGTTTCTATTTTCGTTGATGGTGGATCAGACATCAGAGCTGTATACCTATTATACGCGATTATACAAGAAAAATCGTTTAAAAACATCAATATTCTATGGCTAAATCTTAACGTGTATCCACCTCCAAAGTCCAAAATCCATAATATTAAATTTTTTATTTTAAAAATGAACTATGTTCTTCTAGCGTAGGTAATTAGCTGTGTAACTATCGTCGATTGTATTTTTGTTTTCAACAATAGTTTATGCGTTCTAATGTTTTTGTAGTTGTAAAATATATAATTATTTTAACAGACACCTTTTTTTTGCAGTGGTGGATTGAGTAATTGGCTATATCAGGTTACATTACTTAAAGGTAATGCCGATCCCCACGATGTGTTGATGAGGTTATATGGCCAAACACACGGCGAGAATGCTATTGAAAATATAATCACAGAATCTGTGATATTCACATTGTTGTCGGAGCGTGGTTTAGGGCCTAAGTTGCATGGAATATTCCCCGGAGGCCGTCTTGAAGAATACATTCCGGTAAGCTCGTTCACCTTCAATAACGCATTTTGTAGACATATGATTTTGTTTAATTGAACTAGTTAATTTAATTTAATGTGGATTAATTATTTATTTGCCATGAAAAAAAAAATAATAATACCAATTAAACGTATAAACAAGTAACAACCATTAAAATACAGCTAGGTTTATTTTTTCAACATTTTTCAACATTCTCTTTATGTTTAAATTGTAAATATACTTACCTACACAATCTAATAAGAAATAAATGTGTATAAAAAATTCATAATATACCTACTTACAACAAATTGAATAAGTACGTCAAAATATTTAACTAATATTAATTAACTATTATTTTTACTTCATAACTATCAAATTCGCCATTCCTGGTGTAAAGGTTAGGTCTTTGTAAAGTCCTAATACCCAACTAGCTTTATGTTTATACGAAAAATTGAATAAATGTACACGTAATTTGCATGAATAAACGGAATAATATGAACAATTGACTAATAACAGAACAACCATGAATATTAATTGTTTCAAAAACATGATAAATAAAAAAAAATTTATTTTTTAATTTTCATCTGAATTAATTGTGTTGGCTATTGATTCAAGTTCATGCTTACTTTTGCTAATCTTAGATATGGGTGAATTTAAATGTACTTATTATAATATAATATGAATGACTGTTTACATTATTTAGCTTTGTCAAAATTACTATAGAAAATGTTTAAAACAAAATTGCATTATGCCTGTTGAACCTATGCACACATTTATTTATTTTTCACCAACACCATTATTTTGTTTCATTCAATCAATTCTGTTTAAATATAAAATAACTCATTTTTTAAATGGTTAGTAATTAGTTTAGTTATAAAACAAAAAGCTTTGTAAAGTTGGTTTAATGTATTTTACAATCTACAAGATTAAAATAATTTATACATAATATACTTACTTCTTAATAACCTAACCTTTGAATCGTCTAATGTTACTGAATACTGAGATAAATTTTAAGTGATAGTTATTTATTTTTTTTTGTGGCTCCTTGCCATTTGGCTATAGATATAAATAAAATATTTCATTCAATGTAGGCTATTTAAAAATTTAGGCCCACTGCTGTCATTTTACCAGTACTCGTCCTTGGGTTTTAAATGAAAAAAAATGAAAATATACCTATATATATATCAACATGCTTGAATGACGTTGACATAACATATTCTAACGGCTTTTGGATATGTTGCTATTGTTCCAAAAGTCGAGCATAAATTTCAGACTCATGGGTCAAGTCCAACAGTATACAATCTATGATGATAGTCATAGCTGATCAGTAAGTTGAGCTTTGAGTACATTAAGCACTTGATAGGAATGTTTAGAGACATTAACTTTATTGTATAAGATATGTTTTATTCACATTTAATGTATTTTTGTCCTAGATTTAGAACAAGTACACAAATTAATAAAAGGTCCAATACTTCATTCAGAAGTCATCTATTGTTAAAAACGACATTCGTTTGGATTACAATTATAATATAAAGTAAATTATATATTTTATGTGTCTATGAAATCTTACAGGCTCGGTCAATGAAATCTGAAGAATTAAGCGATCCAAAATTAAGCCTTATGATTGCAGAAAAAATGGCTGAATTACATCAGCTCAACATTCCAATCAATAAAGACTCAACATGGTTATGGGACACCATGGACAGATGGTTACAACAGCCAATTAAAGATGTTAACTGGTCAAGTGAAAACATGGAGCTTGATCAGATACTATCTACAAATCTCAGTGATGAAACCCGCTGGCTTAAGTATGAATATAATCCATATTTTATGAACTACAAACTTATGTTGAAAATAATAAAATCATGGTTACTTTTTCAATTCTAGAAAACACTTGTCAAAGCTGAGGTCACCTGTTGTATTCTGCCACAATGATCTTCAAGAGGGTAATATTTTAATGAAGGAAAACGATCCCCCTGGCTGCCGATCATTATGCCTTATTGACTATGAATATTGTGCGTACAATTATCGTGGTTTTGATATAGCTAACCACTTTGTAGAATGGACTTATGACTATACAAATCCCATTTATCCACATTACACAGTTAACCGAGAATTGTTTCCAACAAAAGACCAACAAGTAAATAGTGATTTATAAATATTGATTTTCTTACTGATTTCTATTTAACTATTATTCATAATTTTAGATTGAGTTCTTGAAACGGTATTCTCAATGTATGGAAAATGAAGAATCAATAGAATTGATACTAAACGAAGTAAATAACTTTATTTTGGCATCACATTTATTTTGGGGTATATGGAGTATTGTCAATAGTCGAATGTCAAAAATTACTTTTGGTTACAGGGTAAATATTCTTTCATTTAGCTTACGTTTTCTTTTAATTTGTCCTGTTAAAAATAAATAGATTTATTTTATTATTTACAAACATTTAAAATTGTCTGAATTTCTTTTTTTAATGTCTTACCATTCATTTTTTTTTAGGAATACGCAAAGGAACGGCTCAAATCATATTTCAAGCTCAAAGAAAGTTTAATAAATAATAAATAGCATGTAACATAGAAATACTTTGAGTACTTATAAAAGGAATAGGTTAATTGTAGACCAATATGTTTCAATATTCTGGTAAAGACTGATTTATATTTCAAAAGTTTGGTCCTTAATTTTATTTGTCTGATTAGCTTGTCATTTTCACTTGTATAATTTGTTTTTAAGTGTTCTTATGCTTATTATGAGCTTCTTTTATACATCTTTGTTATATTAAAAATTATAACAATAGTTTTAATTTCTGACTAATAATTAAGACCAGTACGTACTGTTTTTCATATTTTTGTTTAACATTTTGTAAAATTAATGAAAACCAATTTTACTTTATTCTGGTGCTAAGTACTCATATTCTTATAAATGATAATCATTATATATTTGGAAACTTCCAAATTGTATGATGTAAAAAAACTGAATTATAAATTGTGCAATAATTATTATTATATATATCAAGAACATGTTAATTATTGTACTTAAACATATTTAAATATTATAACTATGAAGTCCATCCTGTACTTTTTATATTATATTGCTATTGTGTGTCCTATTAGCTGTTATTATATGTAATTGAAATGTGATTTACTATTTTTTTTTTAACTTAATGGCTTTTTACTGTGTATTAATGTCTATTTAGATCTTTAGGAATTGTCGGTTTTATTTTATTGGGATACATTATCCTGTAGTATTTATTTGTTAGTAGTCATACTTTGTGATGGTTTATTACCTTACTTATTAAAGAGAGAAAACCAAATATTATGTTATTTTTAAGGAATATTGAATGGCTTTGTAAATTATTATTAAAGAATATTAAATTTGGTTATACCTATATAAAAAAGTACAAAAAAAATTTATATATATATTTTATACACACACATTAATATATAAATATAATATGTAAACACATACATATCAAAATTATAAATTTTCTATTTTGTGATTTAATCATATTTTAAATGATTCAATATCTGCAAAACAAATTTGTTCAGCTGATATCGGACTATTTGCACTTGTCGATTAGGAAATTTACACAATTGTTTATCAAATTATTTTTTTTGCACAAGAGTAGATTCTTTAATGTACAAGTTTATATTAAAATATAATATTTGTTGTTTGTTGTCATTAATTATTTAACACACATTATTTGATGATAGCACTATTTTTTATCAAACCATATTAATTTAACTGCAGTAAAATATAAAATTATCCGAATATTTTTTAATAAATAACTGAATAATAAGCATCAATTTTATTTTATTAAGAAAATAAGATGTCTGTTGGGTTTGTACGTATTTGTATAATCACATTATTATTATTATTATTACAAGTAATTATTATATTATATAGTAATATATTATATGTATAAAGCATTAAAAATATCTTTGTAACTAATTAAATTAACATATTAAAAAATATCGGTAGTTAAAATTTGGGTTGTTAGGCAGATATTATTTTTTGTTCTCCTCATTTTATTTGTTCCTCATTTAATATTACTATTTGTTATAATCGGTCGCACTTTTATATTCTATGGTTTCTCCGTGGTTGAACTAAACTTAGTTAGCCTACTATTTACAGTCAACAGTTCTACACATTTATTATGTTTTAATCTTTATTATTATATATTTTTTTTATTATATAAATATATTAAACTATGTTTAAATTTAAGTTTTAATTAAATATTCTTGTATAATTTGAAAACTGTTGTTATTTTTGTAATGTTAATTTAATATTATTCCAATTGGCTAGGGAGTTTAGGCTTAGCAAATTGGCTAAAAATTTTTCGTTCCCGTTTGGGGCTGTAATACTGCTTAGATTTTTTTCAACGGTATTTTGTTTGATGGGAAAGTGAATGGTGAATCTAGTTGGTGCATTCAGAAGGTCAAAATTTGAAATTCTCAATAGTTATTAAAAGTGCAGGGAAAAACCAAACAAAAATTAAGGAAAAACAGTAATTTTTACTCACAATCGGTTTTTGACAACATTTTGGTTTTTGGTGTAACTCTAAAACAAATAATCGTAGATATATGAAAATTTCACTGAATGTTTATATTAACATAGCAGTTTACGGACATTTTCAGTTTCAAATTTTTTTCTATAAATGTCAATTAAATTTTATTCATTGGGTAAAAAAGCTTGAAAATGTAATACATGGCTCCTAATATATCGTGACAGTTGAAAAATATTAAAAATACATAGTCACAATTTTATTTTATTATTTTTTTTTTAAACATAATTTTTTTTATTAGGCAATCTGTTGCACAAGTTGAACAATAAGCTTATTTGATAATTAATATAATAAATAAAATAATATATTAAAATATATAATTTATTTTATTTTAAAGTTCTTTTTATGACAACATTTATGAAATTTAAAATTTAAAAACTATTTTGTAGTAAAAAATGTTCAACTTTTATGGCTAAGAATTGAAAATTTAAAGCAAGGTTCCAAGTAAATAGGTTATTCTGTACCCAAAAATCTATTATTTTTAAGATTAAATTTGGACGAAATTACCTACATATTAAATAATTAAGAAAAACAAGTTATGTTATTTTGTTGTAATTATATAATATTAATATAGGTAATATAAAATATAGCCACACTGACAAACTACTGTCTCCTCTCAGAATTGTGTTTCGTGCGGGCTACAATTATGTTGTATCAGTTTAAACCTTAAACCACTGAGGTAAACTTTGTTTAAGGGCCCCCACCTACCTACCTTTTATATATAAAAGCAGTCACTCATGACCCCCCCCCCTCAACTAAAAATTTTCTGTTGTATTTACCAAACTTGCCATGTGTGTTCGGCGCCACTGTAGTTATATTATCATTGAATTCAAATTCAATACCATCCATTATACAGTGACCCACTTGTTGTTGTTATATTCTACTGTACAGCAAAGTGACATCCACTTACCCACTTTTTATAAATTATTTTATATTTTATTTATTATTTCAATTATATATTTACCTCCCCTATTTTACGGGCTATATATTGTAATCGTGTACCTATATCTTAAAATATTAAGTGAGCGACTCTTACCTACATTCGGTCGAGGACAACTGGTACATTTTGATCTCGGTAGTTTGTGGGGAATTAGTATAAAAAGGTACTTTTGGGGGCAAGTGGGCAACTGGTACATGCCTGAAATTCTACAGCGGGTATGTGGTATGTCGTATGTCCCTCGTATTATAAGTTTGTAAACTCCAAGTTTTTACTTACATAGTTACATACCTTCAAATTGCCTATAACAAACCCCTTTGAAAACAGTTTGGATGTACGTCACTATAAAACGTAGAATCCCCTTTTAAAAAAAAACATAATGGTTTCTTTACCTCCTCTGACTCTATATAATAATTAATAATAATAATAATAACTAAGAAGTAATTATTTTCCGTATAAGTTTATAGGGGACGATTGACGTATGGTCAAAAAGTCGTTACGAAACGATTGTTCGTCGGTAAACAGAATGAACCATAATATGTATGATACCACAACCGTGGTAAGGTCGGGCTGTTATCTCTTCTGTATTCTTTCGTTCATGTTTTCCTGATTACGAGCTTAGTAATAATTGATACCTTATTTGTTTTTTTACATTTGTCCATCGTCGGTTGTTTTCGTTTTTTGTCTTGTATTTTCAACGGAAAATTCGTCGTCCGTCTACATTGAGTTACATCGAATATTATTTAGAAATAGTTGATCTTCGCCATTGTTGGACAAAACAAAGACCACAGCGGGCGTGTATGGCTTTAGCCGCCGTACAGACGTCTCCGACTATAGGGACTTCGCAACAGAATTCGGTGAGTACCTTACATTCTACGAAAATACGATTTTACATAATTATTTTAGACACATTAAGGTGACCGATAAATGATTATTGTCGATAAGAGACTAATACTACTAACGATTGTAGATTTTGTCTGTTCTGTCCTTAAAGTAGAAATACTTAAACAAAAATTACCAAAATTAATTTTTATTCTTTCGTGAATTCGACGTTTTTTACTGCTTGGATTTTGAATTATTCAATGATTTGATATTGCATTTTATTATAAATTATTATAAATGAGTGATTGATTTATTGCTTATCTTGTAGAGCACCTATCTATTTAAATTTTTTATTTTGAAACATGATTACCTACACAGTTTTATTTATATTTATAATCTTTTTAGCTGATTAACTAAACCTAAGATCATTCATTATATATACTACTATTATAATAATATAGTATTATAATCAATGCTAAAACCTTGTGTAATTAATAATTATAAATTAGCGGGGAAAATATTATTTGATAGGTATTATTCATTATTCTATTTGGTTATAAACTATGTGTTACCTACTACAATATTTTATTCTAATATCATTCTGCTTGGTCAATGGTCATATTTTTATATTTAAGTACCTTTATTTAGGTTTTTTAATCATAATTTTTTAATTTTGTTAATATCCTATTGGTAGTAATTGTTATAATCTTTTTTGTAGCATCAATAACTATCATAAAAGCAGTGTTTAGATCTATAAATAATGTGTAGGGGGCAACAAGAATGTACTTCAAATGTGCATTTCTGATGACTATGTAATTTTGAAAAATTGTAAGCGCACATTGAAATATTTTTAAAAAAATTACCTGGTTTCCATCAATACAAAAACTACATAAAAGTATAAATTAGGTAGATACACCTACCTATTATATAGATTATTTTATTTTGATTCATAAAATGTGATTATTATTTATTATGTAAGTACCCTGTAAAGTAATTACAAATTGTTGAATAAAAAAGTAATTAAATTAGAATTTATAGTGTAACAGGTTACAGATATGTAAACAATGTTGACCTAGAATTATGAAATAACTAGAATTCATTGAGTGTAACTGATTTAGTGTGTATTTTGTTGTAATTATATGTTAATTATCAGTAAATGTTTTATTTTTAAATATTCAAGACATAAAATAATACAGGTAGGTTTATACTATAAATATGCATGCTGACTACTGGAAGTATACATTTCATACAAAAATAAAGGATAAATATTATATATTTGTTATAACTAACTGCTTGTTTTTTATGATTTAGTTATTTGTTTCATTAAACATTTTTTTAATATTTTACTTAAGCCACTCACTTTTGATATAATTTCATTAATTAGCATTACATTTTGTATTTTAAAAATGGTGTACATGTATATTGTAAACACTGTAATATGGGATTAAACTTAGTAGTTTTAAAAACGATAATAATAACATTTTTATTGAGCCGAAGAATGATTTTGCTAATTCTTCCTCATTTAGATCTTATGGAAATGTAGATTCATGTTGATACCCAAGGATGAAAGATTATTATAAAACAATTTATGCAGCTTACATTATTTTTCCAAACATACAAAATCGTTTATATTCTATAGTTATGATTTGTGATTAGTAGGTATTACCATTCATCTTCATTACCTTTGTAAATTTTGAAACTTTTCTTGTGATTTCTTTACGTATGTTTATGTCTTACTTAATACTTTGTAGGTACTTAACTTTAGATGTCAAAATCGTTTTGATCCTTTTTTAGTTTTATTTATTATAGTATTTTGTTTTACAACATTGAAACTAATAACTATGGTTTTGAATACCTCAATTTCTAATACTTGGTCATTATCTTATTTTTTATTTTATGTATCGCATTAGGTTCAGTATTTATAGTTTGTAACTAATACGTTTCATGCGTATCCATTGTTGTTCGTGTTATATTTTTTAAAACTGTATACTTTACAATTTCACTTGACTCACAATAAAGATTATTTGTTATTATTGTTATTTTCTTTGTTTTATTAAAAAAAAATCGATTCATTTGTTAGCTCTTTGTTACCCCCAGCGTCAATATGGGCAATTTTCCGGATTAAAATCACGTGGCGATAATCGCGACGACCGTTTAAGATAATGGAGACCCGAGGCGAGATCATATTATAATTTATTATTTATTGCGTGTTAACGCATATAGGCTACCCGGCCAAATTAAACCACGAAAAAACCAATAGTCAACCCAAAATGATCAATTGATCTGAGAAAACAGCATAATTCAGATCACTATCAGGTGTCACTATCGGACTCCACGATAAATCGAAACATTGTCTCGATTTCCGTGTAGCGCGCTCCGCGTGGTGACGACAAAGCACGATCTGCTGATGTGTGGTATTGTGGTGGTGGTGGAAGCGGCGTCGGCCTCGTCCAGCTGAACTCGCGGCTCCGTAGTGTGTTGTCGTCGCCGCTCGTCAGTCAGTCGTCTGCGGGACTGCCGTTGCGTTTGGGTTGTGTGCGCTCGTTAATCCACACCGATTTGGCACGTGTGATCGCGGCGTTCGCGAGTGTGTTAGAGATCGTGTGCGGATTTGATGGTTTTTCGAATTGTTTACCGTAAACGAATTTAACCTCTTGTGTAGTCGTCGTTTTCCGATCGAATTTCTTAAAGCATTTAATCGGTTCGCCGCGATGAACTCGTCATCGTCACGGGTGTTCGCCGCAGCTGGCCGCTTTCAGACCGGGTGTTGAGTTCGTGATCGTACTTCGTATTGTTATCATATTATACACATATCGTACTTACGAGTAGCCGCGGCTGCTGTCGTACTGCGCTTAGCGTTAGTTTCGGGTGCGCAGTGCTATGATGTTGTACGTTCTGCCGCCTCCGGCGGCAGCCGGTCCACCGTCCCCGTGGTCCACGATACTGTGCGATGACGGACGGCCGTCGTCGGTACGTGGCGGTAGCCAACAAGAGCCAGCGGTGGCCAACAGTGGCCGGTTGACTTACAAACGGAACGCTAGCAATAACAGGCGGGTTAAAGCGTGGCTGAATGCCGTCCAAAAGAATAACCGTCCGCCGCCGCCCAGGAAACCTTCGGTGGACGCTGTCGGTCCCGAGGTACGTTCGAAATTTAGAAGGCTACCCGCGTCTAGGGGGGAGGGGGATGGTGACTCGTACAGGGTTAGACGTCCAACTGACACTATACAAATTTAATATACAGGGTGTATCTTATGTCATTGTACGCGGGGTTTTTTTGACGATTACGGAACGATAATATGGAATTTCGTTAAAACGAAAAAAGACGTGTTTCTTTATTTTTAACAAGCATTTTTTTTATAACAATTTCAAAATTTTTAAACACGCAGGTGTACCAATAGCAAAATCAACTTTTTTTTTTCAAATGGTAACCACTATAATTTTTAATGGATTCTTATAAAGCTTTTTTTTCTGAACATTTTGGTAGTCGAATCGTCAATTTTGGTTCGCTAGTTTATTAACTATGGTCCTCCAAAGATTAGTAAAATATGCATTAATACTTTTAATTGAAATAATGGGTATAGGTTTAATTTACAAGCGCTAAACAATTTTTTCTTGTAACTACCATTTGATACACTACAATAGTTGAATCGGAAATCTAATGACACCCTCAAAAAAATAAAAAATAAAAAATAACAAACACAATTGTTTGTAAACATACTTCATTAATTTTATTTTAACATACGATCATAAAAATCAATATTATTATTTTAATTTATTATTATAATCGTAATTAATTACTTTACATTTTTTTCATCACAGTTACTTTTCTTACAATATCATAAATTTGAATTCTTAATTATAGGTAGGTTAGGTTAGGTGGGTAATAATGGTAAATTGGTAGATGGTATTCGATTGTTGACATTAATATGTGCAACGAAAAAAGTGCAATGTTTGGTGGTGCTCTTTTCGTAGTGGTATAAAGTATAAACTTGATATATTAACCATAGATTCCCTATAATGGTATCGCATCCAAAGTATGAACTTAGGAGTTGTAATTATTCATCCCTTTCCATCCCTTTTAGTTTTGGATATTAAAATAATAATATTGATTTTTATGATCGTATGTTAAAATAAAAATAATGAAGTATGTTTACACACAATTGTGTTGGTTATTTTTTTTTTTTTTTTGAGGGTGTCATTAGATTACCGATTCAACTATTGTAGTGTATCAAATGGTAGTTATAAGAAAAAATTGTTTAGAGCTTGTAAATTAAACCTATACCCATTATTTTAATTAAAAGTATTAATGCATATTTTACCAATCTTTGGAGGACCATAGTTAATAAACTAGCGAACCAAAATTGACGATTCGACTACCAAAATGTTCAGAAAAAAAAGCTTTATAAGAATCCATTAAAAATTATAGTGGTTACCATTTGAAAAAAAAAGTTGATTTTGCTATTGGTACACCTGCGTGTTTAAAAATTTTGAAATTGTTATAAAAAAATTGCTTGTTAAAAATAAAGAAACACGTCTTTTTTCGTTTTAACGAAATTCCATATCATCGTTCCGTAATCGTCAAAAAACCCCGCGTACAATGACATAAGATACACCCTGTATAATAATATGTGTTATCACCGGATATTAGCGCATACGTATAAAATCATTAATAGGTAATAAGTTTCATTGTTTGTTTTTAATATAATAATAATATTATGTACTTAAGTATTATTACATAAATCAGGTTTTACATTTTTAAGTATAAATAAACGTACTATATATACCTACATTCAAAGACTGAATCTAATAATTTTATTTAATGTAATTAAACAAATATATTAAAAAGTACACCAAGATACCTATATTTGGCTATTTGCATGGTTCCGATCGCGATGGTGTTTTATCGTTTTATATAATTTATATTGTACCCTCCATTGAATCATTATATATATTCGACGAGTAATTTACAGGTACTATTCGCGATGACATCATTTTTTTTTCTCATGAAGGTGGCTTCATGATACCGGTTTAAAACGTACTTCCATAACCGTTTCACTATACAATGTATATATTTTGCCAGCTTCAATTTTGATGGTATCTTAATGTATATGCATGAGTTTTAGTGTTTATATAAGTATATTTTTTATATACATTAGAGAATAGAAACATATAGGTATGTGAGTTGTGTGTATTTTTTCGTATAATTAAAACAAGGAGGTTGACGCGTCATTTGGAATGTCGTTCTCTCTGTAATATAAATGAGAAGACATTTGAATAAAACGTTAATACCTTAGTAATGGTTTTTTTTTTAATTCTGAGCAAAGTTAATAACCTTTACATGGTTCAGGTCTTTGGTTTTTATTTATTTTCAGTAAACTTTATATTCCTGAATATTTAAATGACAAATAATTTACATCATAGTACTAAATTTTGATTTATTTTACATTTATTTTGTAATTTCACTCTTGCTTAAATTATGATTCACTTACTATATTATTAGTTAAGAACTTTAAACTTTAGTAAGCGCAGTTAATATTTAAAAAATAACTGATAATTTAGTAATTAACCTCCTCCAAGGGTTGTTTTTTTATTTCTAAACTATACGTCTATACCTTACTCCCTATGACATCGTACTAGTACGATGTTTTAGCTATTTTACATTATTATTGTATAAAATAAACGTTGCACACAAACTGACAGTGCTCAGATTAAGTGCCTATGTAAGATTATGTAAAATTATTTACACTAATTACGATATAAACTAGTATAGAAATTAAGAAATGGCACCTATTCTAAATTCACATTATCATCCATTTAACAGTATGGCGTACGTTCACCCATATTATGCACATATATATATATATATATATATATATATATTATTATATTTATAATTTATATTAATAGGAGGCAATGTGAGTGCATAGGTAGTGATCGGGGGGGGGATTACGGGGGCTTAGCCCCTCAAGTCCGTCAAGCCCCTCCTTTTTTAGTTCTATGCGATCGAAGCCCCCTTCACATTAATTTTAATAATGTTAGCCCCCCCCCGAAATTTTAATGGATTTCCTCCTCTGTGTCAGTGTGTGTAAGTGATTCACAGCGAAGTTCTATCGCACTAATGGTTTCATGTTTGGCAGGTACATATCACATATGCACATACTCAAGGATGTGCACCTAAAAGCCGCAATGTTTAAAATTTTGCATTTTAAGAGGGGCCCACACATGACTCACGAAAAACTAATAATTTTTAGTTTGTATAGGGTTGCCATTTGATACTACAGAAATAAAATAGTTATAATGATAGAATATAATTTGAAAATGGTATTTTATATTTGGCCAAAACAACTCAAATTAGTGTGTTAAAAATCTGTGTAGCTTACATTTTAAGTTTAAGAAGAGGGGTAAATCCGTGGGTATTTAATTTGTCCCATGCAAGTATGCAACGTCGTGCAGGATCAGCCAGTACCTATAGGTAGAGCTGTACATTTTCATGAAAATTCTTTTGGTTTCAAAAACTGTAAATTTTGAAAATTATTTTTTTTGTTATGGAATTCGTAATTATTAACTTTTTTAAATTATAGGACATTTGTTAATTATTCATTTAATCATTTATTCACAAAACACTTACCGACTTACTTATAAAATAAAAATGTTAACTGTTTAATATACTTTATTACTTAAAAATGTAGGTGTTATAAATTAAAAAAAACCTAGAATTTAGAATCAATTGAATCTTTATTAAGCACATCAGTACATGAATTGTATAATACATTATTTACTAAAATAAATGTTGGTATTTGCTTAAATCATTTGAAAATGTAAATATAGTTCTCTTCCTCCTATAAGTTGGTGTACTTAAAATACATTTTATTTCATTAACATTTATTGATAATGTTTCTTCAATGAGTGGAAAAATGAAAGAATTAGTGGACTTTTTATCACTATATTTATTATTACTAAACACGTACAATTACAAATTTTATTATATTTCATTAAAAATTGAAAAATATCAGTAGTTGAAAATTTTCAATGTTACTAAAAATTTCAATGAAAAAAAAAAAAAAAATTTGAACATTTTCAATCTTACTGCTCTACGGCTATAGGTATTATATTATAAATTATAATATATATTTGAAGAATTTGTTGCTGTCATTTAAGATCGAATAATAACTTGTTCAATGTTATATAATTTATAAATATGTAGAAATCATCTTTATATTATAATATAGATCCTGTATAGAAACAATTTTAGTAGTTATATGGTTTTATTACCTACTTAAAATGAAATAAAATGTATAGATAATATAGGGATGTAGTAATACGAATACGTATTTCTGTTAACGATTATGTCACTTCATTCAGGATTATCAACAATTAGCCCACTATACAAATATTGTATACCAAATTTAATGGTTCAAAAATCAACATAACTAATAATTTTTAAGATAAAGAAATAATCGTAGTTAGATTTTAAATGTTGGAAATTTTCTTATTGTTTTACTGTATTTAAAAATTGATGTTCCTATTTATGAAAAATTTCAACGCTTATAAAATGAGTTAGGAATTTATCATTTTTTGGATGTAAAAATATAAAATAACTAATTTACATTCTTTTTTCTCAATAGTTTTTAACTATTATTTATTAACTATAGTGTTCCATAGAACCTAGGTAAGTTAAGTAATATCGACATTTAGTCAACTTTTAATTTTTTACAGTTTTAATTTTCGTTAATTCCTTGAAAGTACCTCGATCATTACATACAATTTCCTGTACCGTTTTACCGGTTTTAAAGTATCTACCACATACATTTCAGGAGTAAGTACATTACTGTGCGTTTATATACGAATGATGAGCGTGATGCTTGGCTAAGTAGTTTTGTGTTTACTCATCGTAAAAAAATGTTACACAATTAGTATTGTACTACTGTAGGTACCAACTTCCAGGATTTCAGCTAATTGACCTTTTTAACTTGAACCCTTCACTAAGATTTCGTGTGCCTGAACAGGCAAAGAATGTATGATATGCTCAAGTTATTTTTTATATAGGCACCTACCTATCATTTTAAAATCGTGATGACACTTAAAAAAATTTAACTATAATATAGTGTTACTATGAAACATATTATGATATGGTCTTA